AGAAAACACGTAACCGGTCGTGTTTGCAATCGTGTAATATTTCGCAGATTTGTATTAGCTACGCGATAGATATCGCGCATAGATTACACGCTTTATAAATACCGGCGGCATTTCTGCTCTCCACGTGTTCGTTCTACGATATTGTTCATCTATGTTTTAGATTACCGTTGGTACCACCCCCGTTTATTTTTAGGCAGACAGAGAGGGAAGGAAAAAAAGAAAGAAAGAAAACATTGCACGAAACTACAGGCTATCGTAAAGTCGGGCAAAAATACACTACGAGTTTCCATAAGTATGACACGAAGGCAGCGCAGTTATAGCGACTTTTCATATTTATAGCTGGACAGGACATTGTTTCACCGTATGTACGGCTACTGGCCTATAGTATTTTTATCTTCGACAGTTATTCTTGGATGATAGGTAGCCGATAATAACAGCGTAGAGACTAGTTTTTTTATTAGCTACGCAGTATCATCGTTTTGGAAGAAGAATGCGCTAAAAATGGAAAATGGTAATCGATGAATGTTATATTTCAGAGACGTAAAAATGTATTTCTAAAAAATCACGCAATAATTCGTTGGGGAAAATTTGTCGTCTAAATTAAAATGCAAAGTAGCTCAAACAGAGGGATGAATCATTGCTCTCATATCGAGCTAAGGGTATTTCTATTCAAACAAGGATGTCATGGAAAATTAACGTTTTTTTACGATCCTATTCGGATATAACATTTATCGATTCTGATTACCTTCAATTACGGTTATACCTTAGTCGGAAACGATTTCGCGGAGAATCACTTTTCTACGTTTCTCCGGTAATTCTCTCGTGTATTGATTAACGATAAGAGATGAAATCAGTGTCTGCGTCCTCACACTATGCACCGTGTATTTCTGCCATTCCCTCGGCATCGTCGAGTATTTTCCTCTATGAATTTGTTATGACCTTAGCAATAGAACGGATCGATAAGACACATTCTGTCTGTGCGCGCCTCTGATGTGTCTTTTACCGTCGCCTCGAGGCGATGGAATAAATTTGAATCGCATATATGTACAGAGAAAGATCGTTCGTTGATCCGATACGACTGGAAAAATCAGATTTACTTTGTTTCATTGTTCTTCTCTTGACCATATGCATTTCTACATTTCTAATTTGTAAGCTTCCTTCATATATGCTACCAACTATTCTTGAATTACTTACTGCCAAGAAAATTCGAGTCACTGAAAAGAAGCGCGTTGCAGCGGAGTTAACGATTTAATTAGAAGAGAATTATGATTGTACAGCGCGGTACGGGCTTACAATAACTATAAATATGGTCACAGTCTTGCACAGCTTAACGCCTTGACGGTGATACATCAGACTAGTTATTAGGCGTTAGCGTGTGCCTAAGTTATGCATTAGCGGGTCTTATTTCGAAATATGTCTCTAAAAAAAGAATTTATACGCACGGGTGTAATTTATGTATATTTACGGGTATAATTACGTAGTATTATATAGTAGTATTACACTAGATCGCTCAATTTCATGCTCACATTTACTAAAATTTTAATTACATTTATACACCAATAAAGTTTACCAGCAGCTGTCCAGGTTTCATTATTACTTACTGATCCCATATATACGAGGTAAAACAGAGGCGAAAGACCAACTGTTATCCGTAAAATACACGATCGCCGCTTGAAACTGCATCATAGAAATAGAATATTGCGATGGAATCAAAGAAGGAAAAGCATCATCACGATCGACTTTCGAAGCAACAGTTCGAGGTTTAATCTAGCAAAAGGGAAGGAAGAACGCGAGATCCACTGAGAGACGATCAAAGGAGACATTACACCGTGCGCTAAAGCACAACCAGAATAGAAGGGAACGACAAACCGCGGCTGTGACATTTCCGGCTCGTTTCGTAGGTCGTAAAGAGAGGTAAAAGCGTAGGCATTATGTGGATCGAGCTCCGAAGGCGACCAAAAAGCCGGTGATAATGGCGTAGAGAGCAGTGGCGACTCAAAGCCGACTCGGCTCGAAAAAAAAAGAAGAGGAAGAAAGGGAAGGAAAGAGGATAGGTTGCAAGTTGGCGAGCGATGCGATGTGCGAACCGGTGGTGTGCGGTGCACGGAGTTACTTTCGAGCATAAGCGCGCTCGTTCGGACTTCCTAGTAGCGCATACGAAGTATTGTTTGGAAAGCAGCTCATCGCCAAGAGCCTCTCGTTAAATCTCCAAGAACTTTGTTCGTCCAGCTCTCGCTCGAGATCAATACGACTCCTAGTTCAGCTACATATGTAGTTACATGACAAAAGTTCTGAACTTTTGACCCGACGGCGGCCATTGTACGGCCGACAGACGTCTATTCCATCGCGTTTCCCTATTTTCTTCTATTCCGTGTTGCACATTTCACGCGTCCAGGACCGGCACAGCTGGACCACGGGGGTGGCATTATCGTTTTGCATGTGGCTCCTGCGTACGTATGTATAATGCATGGCTGTTTTGAAAAGGTAATGCAATTCATAACGGAACACTGTGATGCGTTCCGCTCGTGTTTTCCCGTCTCCAGAAACCACCGGCGAAAATAATAATGCTTATGGACCTTAATAATCATAAAAATGCTAATGTTAATGACGCTGGGGGATGTGGGCGGGAGTTGGCGGTGGCCGTGATATTAATGGAGGGATCGTCGTCGTGCATGGGAAACAATAATAAGAACAATGAAAACGGCCACGACAGCAATGAGCACGAGATAATACGAGGGAAATGCGAGGGTGAAACGAACAGTATTGTAGTTGTAACTGTCGCCCAAGCCAGACCCTGTGAAATTGTTTAACGAGATCACTCGGATTTTTCGTCCTTTATATGCCTTGAAAATAAAACGCTCGACTATTTGTTTATTTAGAAGAGAACATTTTGTGGCCACTATCAAAAGTTTTGCAGCAGATCGATTATTTCCCTTCTAGTGTATCGCTATTCGATACACAGGCATGTATTGTATGGAGTTGAATAAATAAAAACATCAGTGGTTTTGATTAAACAAGTCTCTATCGTAAGAACAACTAAACGACGATGATACCACGTATTTTGCCTATATTTTCTTCCCTATCCAAATTAATTTTCGTTTTAGCGAACGATGGATGAATTTTAATTAAAAAAAATATTTCTCGAAAGAGACTTAAATTGTCTTTTAAGCCACAGTCTTAGCTTGCAAAATCTATTTTCTTAAAGATCAAATGTCAAAATTCGGATATATATCATATATAGCGAATGTTGCTTCATTTTCTCGTCACATACTTCGATACGCCAAGAGATCATGTATTCCTTTCTTTCAATCGACACAAATGAAAATCGTGAAAAAGCATCTTTCTATCTCCAAGATACTTCTCCCTTGATGTGGATCGTTGAAGTAGTAGAAAGCAAAAGGATGAGTCGTTCAAAGAAGAACAATTCCACGATGTCTACGATCGAGGGATCGAGTTTCCTTATGGCGAGTAAAAGAAAAGAGTAGGAGCGACACGAATACGAACTCTTTCAATGAGATACGTAATTTTATCGATCTTCTCGTCGTTAGTTAGTTCTCTGCAAGCTACAACGCACGATGGTGCGCTGTATGATTCCGTGACCCCGAACGTTGGGACCAAATGGTAAAAAGTGCAGGGTAAAAGGATCCGTTCTTTTGCGAGAAAAGGAAAAAAAAGATAATTCTATTGATCCGCATACTCCGTCGAGCGGTCTGTTCCACCGACGGATAAATCTAGTATTTAGCCTCGCGTATCTACAGGTGGAGGCGCCTGCGCGTCATGCTCAGATATTCGTAGATGTCACTCACACTTGCGTGATTACAGATATGCAGCTGCCTCTACGTGTTCATTCCACGCGGCCAGGTACTCGCAGCCAGGATCGAGGAATTGTTCTATATCAATTCATCCTGGACCATGATATTTCATTTTATTTTCCACTACTCTACATTTCTCTACTTCACATGATTTTTCTGGTCACTGCCACGTTTCTGACGTTGGTGCTTTCATTTACGCATTTTTTGATTACGTGATCTACTAATAGGACCGGCTGTATCGTGAACGAAAGCTGTCGGTTTATTTTTCTTTTACGACATTTATAACCACCGGTGCACGGTCACATTTAAACCGATGAGTTTTCGTTTCGTATTTGCTCGTTTGCTCGAGGTTTCCCTGTTGTGCTCGCAATGTTGTTGTTGAGTTAGCCGATGCATGATTGAAACACGATTACACGGTGGACTTGATAAAATCGTGGCGACAGTTTCACGTGTGAGTACGAACCCACGGTGAATTGTACGCAAACCTTCCATTAAATTAAAGGACCGTAAAATCCTTAAAAAACCGGTGTATAGCTTGATTTAAGTAAAAATTTATTATGGGAGCTAGTTTGTGCGAAACTTCCAAAGTACTTGAGTCATAGACCTTTAAATCAGTTACATTAAGGGAGCACGAGTTTAGTATCCTCGTGCTCCCACGCGAAAAAGTTTTAGATACTTCGAGAGTAAACATTAATCTTGCGAACTACAAATTATTTTACTCACCCTGTGTGATTAGTTCCGTCGAGACTGCTTTGTAGTAACAATCTTCACGGCCACTTTCACAACCACCGCCGCGACAACACTACGCGAGTTTGTTTAGTCCAACCAAAATTTCTTAGGCATCTTCGCATTAGTCTACTAATACGTTTCTCGATTTATGAAAAAGACGACCGTATATCTAAGAAATTCCGCAATTTTTTGACGGCAGTTTGGACAAAATTTGAATCGTTCAAACTGTATTTAAAAGTGACGGATTCATCTTTTCATTTAGTTACCCACCACCGATTTAATTGATAACCTAGATGATCGCATTGACGCGTAGATCGATGTTCAACAAAACGAATACGCGATCGTGCAAGCGTATAAACAAATACACGAACGTGCGCGTGTGTGAATATGTGCGCGTGCATTCGTCGATGTGATTATACAGGTGAAACCTACCGACCGCAGTGATAGCTTGGGGTGTACTGAACATGAGGAGAGGGTTGGAAAACGATGTAGAATCTAATCTAACCTTACCTAACAGAGTGGTAGTGGCGCAGCGTGCGCGCCTCAGTGCGCTTGCGTGGCCTCAGCTTCGCTTAAACTTTTCCGGCAATTTAAGCAATTAGGAAGGAAAGCGGAAACGGGATTAACTAATGCGTTCGATTCTTATTGTATAACCATTACTTTTGTGCGAAAGTGCTCCAGCCGCCGAAAGAATCTCACGTGCAAGCTTTCTTACGGGATTTGTCGATGGGATAAAGTTAAACGGTTCTACGGTCAATGAGTTTGAACTTTCTTGGTTTTACCAGGATAATTGTAAGTACAATTTATTGAAGTTTGAATGAAATAAAGTAAATCCTGTTACTTTACTCAATTTGCCAAGTTAAGAATAACAAAGACAAAATTTGTCATAGAACTAAGGCTATTTTAATTTAGGATGAACTATATATATATATATATATATTTAATATATGCTTGGAATGGATTAAAAGAAGCAAGTGCACTTAATAGATTGTGAACAATAATATAATTTAAAATCTGTAGTTTGAATATAAGGTTGTAAACTTATCTAGAAATTATGTATTTTTATTTGTATGTTTTATTTTTGTATATTGATAAACTTTGCTACTATCGGTATTTCAGATTTGGTTCTTCTATTAGCAGTACCATTACAGATGAAGCACAAAATTGACCTGGCATCTTACGGGACTCTGTGTCTCATGTTCTGAAATACCGATCGACCAAACAAATTGCGAGGGTGCTAACCGTCTGTGGCTAAAGCATTGACAAAGAACAGAATATACGTGACATCACTGACGAAGTCTCCGTGCAGATGAGAGGCATTTTACCGCGCAATCCCTTTGCGATCTGTTATATCTGCCATTGTTGTTCTTAATAGGAAAACGAAGAAAGACATATGATAGCAACGATATCGAGCGGACAAGAGTGATTTGCGGCAGATCGCCGCAGCGAAAGCGGGTTGGAAGAACAAGAAAATGCGTATGTATGTACCTTCCTTTTGTGAAACAGAAGAATTTTATTTCTTATTTTTTCTTTTTCTCATCTGCACCGAACCTAGAACAACGACTGGTGTCAGTGTGTATATTTGATTCAATAAGAATAGAAAGGGTCTCTGCGCAGTGTTCTTTTTCGATTCCCATATCGCACCCACTTACACGGTAACGTATGACTCGCATACTCTATCTCTATATCTCTATGCTAAGAACAGCATAAATGTGATATGCAATGCTTTTTTATAGGTCTCACTCGTACCCTCTACCATTTTTGTGTTACATGCGTCACTATCAATTCAATATAGTATAGTGATTTGAATTAAAGGTAAAGTTTTCTATGAAATTACAAATAGAATACGAATTAGGATATGGTGTAATTGTAAACGAAGTATGGAATTTTACACTTCTACATACTTCTACCTAAAAAACTCGCAACACAATTTATGGATAACTCAAATAGATAAGTTGCGCATAAACGAAAAGGGCAAAAGAATCATCGACAACTTGCTTGTGTGGATAAAGGTATCGATCAAGTACTTCAATCTTCATAAATATACTAAAACTAAGGCTTAAAACTAACGAAACAAATTAAAAGTAAGATTTGAAAGTAATACTTAAGACCAAGGTTAAAATTTATACTTAAAACAAAAAGTAAGTCCCCCGTTGCCTCACGCCGTCCAACAATCAGGCTTAAGATTAACATAATTTAGATCTTAGAATTAAAACCTATTTAAATGTAAAACTAAACTAAAAATAGATATCAGATAGATATCAATCTAGTGTACATTAGAACGTGGCCATACTGGCAGCTTTTCATATCAAAGACTTTAACTTAGAACGAAATTTAAGAAATTAAACTATATAATACAGGTACCCCAGGATGTCCCTGCAATATCTCACGGTGTTCTACAACTGGTGCTAATAATTTATTAACGAATATCTATTGTATGATTAATTAAAATTATGACGCACGCATTGCACGTTGTACGCTTTTAAGTTGAGAATCAAAACTAATACTTAAACTTAAAACTTAAAAGGACGCATACATTACGCAACATCTATCTCCCACGCTACGTTATAAAAGCATTGTGCAATAATCCGCTGACAGCATTCGGTATCACAAGAGACCTCCAAGTTCCAACGGGGAATTCCAGGGAATTCGAAACTTACACGATCCACTGTCGAAGCTGCCGACTGATGATATTACGGTAGATTAGTTAAGGATCGAGGTAATATAAAGAAGAGCAAACATTAAAAATTTTCAGGTATTTATTAAATATGGCAAAATTTTGACTTTGCCTTCGTGTACACATAGAAGTATGACACACTCCAACTAAACAAGTGAAACTTCCGATAGGAGGAACCACCAAATAGGATTACGAAGCACTAGTCCTCGACTGAACAAGTGGGGTTCACTCCCGGTGGGATGAACTACTGAACAGGATTACGAAGGACATCAAATTACTGGTCTTAACCCTGTCCGAGTACCGAAGCACCAATCGGGTAGGATCCTCAATTGGACTCTGTAAGCACCATGGTCGTGATGAGAACTCCCGCGACTCGATGCAAACCGCGAATAGTCATTGAACAGTCATCTAGATAAGGGGATCCTTGGAGCGATTTATGAATACAAGAGGTTGTCAAGTGCATGCTGATTCGTTCATATCTGAAATACTCACGAGCGAAATACATACTTACTCACAAATAATTCAAAGGAATTGAGCGATTGCGAACCCATAAATCGCAAAATCCACTTATGTGATAAATGCATGAGGCAAGACAGAAGAGATTTTTATGTTTTGTTCCAAATTAAATAAGCGTACGATTGTACGGAATGGACTCACGATGAACTTAACATATGTATCTATCTTATGATTAACTAAAGCTAAAACACACGCATCTTGTGATGTTCCCGAGATATCGCACGATTTCCCATGGCATCTCCGAGAGGTATGTCAGTCCAGTCTAGATTATCAAAGGATTTCGTAAATAATTTTGGATGATCTAGACCGGACTGTATTAAAATAGTTCTTATCTTAATATCGTTTTCAAATAGTAATATATTCCTAATATTAAAATTAATATTATATTAGTTCTCTAATATTTATAATAATATTTCGACGTACTAATGTTTGGAAGACAATATCAATTATTATTAATTTAAGCACTTGTTGTTTTATTTAATTAAAGTGGAACATTATACCTGCTATACTTAAATGCAGTGATGTTACGAAAGAAAAAAATGATGGTGTGCATTCGTTTATTTTTCGTAGTAATTAAAATAGAAATAAAAAAATTGATATAATGTTCGTGCTATTAATAATATCGAAAATATAATTATAATAACTACGTATGTAAGCAGAATGTTAAAAAATTGAGTCAATTCGATGATTTGGAATTTTGTAAGCACTTATTAATATAAATGTTTACAAATAATAATAGAATAGAATAAGTTAATAGAATAATTTCTATCAACTTCATTTAGTTACAACATGCTTGTTTAAACATTACTATATATTTCATTTAATATTAGTATAAAATTGAAAATAAGTAAAATTACATAGTTTTCTCGAAGTCAGTTTGCTTCTTTCCTATTGGTCGTATCAAATTGAATTTGTGTGCACATATATATAGAAAAATACATATGCGTGTATTTCGTACAAGCTCGTACCACTTCCCCAACAATTCCCGCGCGTACGTTTGGCGCGCAGCATTAGTGCGTCGTTGTAAACAGTAGTTAAGATGTTTAACCTCATCTAACATGCGTCGTTAACCGCTTTGTAAGTATATTTATACACTTTCATCAGATTTATTTAATTACTTAATATACGTTTATTTAATCGTGTATCATTTTTGCTTTTTGATTGATCGAATCATCCTTGTATTAGGAATTTCTGACAAAGGATGGCTATTATTATGTACTTCATGTAGCTTTATCTTATTATCATTAATTTTGTTTAGTATAGATTTGTGATTATGGCGATTATGATAATATGATTACGTGAATAACTAAAGGAATAAAAATTTTGCAACATAAATGTCACGGATGATTAATAGCCAATTCGATCATTTTCAAAGCAGATTTCGTAATGTTGAGTTATTATGATAGAGGCAAACCTATATATGTGCATTTATAGCAACTTTTTATAACTATATTTGTAATTTATGAATGTGGGTACCATTTCATAGTATTCAGTATATAATAACACAAAATTGATATTGTGTAATTAACTCGCATATACTACAATTAAATGATAAGTAGTTTCACTTTAAGAATACCAAGGTGAAAATAGAGAAGATTAAAGAAATCATTCTTTCATATTTAAGATATACATTCGTATATTTTGCTATTTCTAATTTTTGTTAATAATATTTATTACTTTTACAAAAGAGTTGCAATGGTAGGTGACTATGAACAAGTTTCGATCTTAATGTTAGATCCAATGTTTGTGAAGTGTTATAGAATTTTATTTCATAATCTTTTTTTATTGCAAGCATTATCAGGTATTTATCAAACGTAACAAAATTTATTAATAACAGGTATGTTTTGAATTTTCATACTAAATATTCACAATTGAATTCTTGAAAATATTTATAAATATTCGGAAGTAGCAAGAAATATTTTAGAATTCTTAAATAATGAATTGAATAAAAAATAAATTGTAAACATTATATTTTATATTGATGAAAAGTGACTAATAATTAATTGGGACATTTAGTTGTATTTTCTTAAATAAATGTAAGAACAATATACTTTACTAGATTTTATTTTTTTACTTGATTTCGTGCTTGCCTCTGCTTTCCTACTAATATGGCTTTATTTTTGTTTCAGAGACTGTTTGTGATCGTGCGCGGTGCGGTCAGTGGAGTCAGTGTCTACACATTAGCTCTAATTAATTGTATCGTAAATACAATTAGGGTCACAGTTAATTGTATCTACAATATATTGTATGAAAAATACAATTCATTCGCGAAATTACAGTCAGTGTTTGTTCGTCGATTATAATTCAAATGGTCGCGTTAGTAGTAGTCTTTTATTTTTGTTTTTAAATAATTCATAATATATAGCTTTTTAAGTATTCGTTCTCTCAGAAACTCAAAACCTCTCTCAAAAGGATCCATCCCCTGCATAACTTAAAAATGGTAAGTTTTTAATTTATTTTACTCTCTGTGATCTGATGAAAAATTTATTTTGGAAGCTTTAAATCTTTGTTTTTTTATTGTAATAAAACCTTAATGTAATTTTAAAATCTCAATATTAAGCTATAAAATAGGAACGTTTAGTATACTTTAAAAATCATTAGAATCTGCATTTTTAGTCAGATTCAAGCTTTTAGGTTAGAATTACAATTTTTATCGTTATTACAATTTTAGTGTTTATTACCATAAAATGAATTTAATAGAGTCTCGTTCTTTTTTACCAAAGACTTTTCACAACCTCCACATCTACGATAAAGTTCGATGCTTTGATGGCGGTTTCTTCTGGGCCACAGCAACATGGATAACAACGTTCTCCGCATCTAATCGTAAGTTGCATGCATTTTTGTTCCTCTGGTTGATCAATCATGTCTTAGGGTAAAAGGTCTGAATCGAGACCGCCGTCTGGTTGCATTACGTAGATTCTTTCAACAAGTATAGTGGTCACGGGTATTTATTATACCCGTGAGTAGTAACATTTCCTCTTTGTGTTTTATCAGTTCAGGATGGGATCCTGTTGTTCATATCGCGTTTTTTAGTAATACTAATTTTATGTCTGATGTCTGATACGATATTAATATAAGCTTAGTAGAATCGAAATATATTCAGTATTGATATTGAAAAACAACCTTTTGTTAAATATTGAATATTGCCGAATATTTAACGCAAAACTATATCATCTCTTTTAAAATTATTGACTTAATTAAATAATTAAAGTAGCATACGTGGAGATATTTCCTTGTTATAACTATACTTTAAAATTGTCTTCAACATGTAATATAGCTTCGTTTATGATAAGACTGCAGATATATCAGTATTATTCTGAGTAACACATATGTTAATGTTGAAATTATCTACCTGAATAGTAGTTCACTATTTCATAAAGAGGTCCTGTATATCCGTGATTGGGTATCGTTTGACTTTGTTATAACTCTCTTATGGTAATATCTTAAACAATTTAAAGAATCATTGATTTTTATGTTATACAACGATATGTATAATTTATCTTATCTATAATTTATATATATTATTAGGCGTAGTTTGTTGCTAACTTTTTATTAAAATTTAGTTTCAATTACATATGACAACTATAAATGCTGTCTAAAATTTTAATATTATCACAGACGAGTCTACAGTATACAGTATACGAGTATATAAAATTCTTCGTCAGTGGTATTATAGACGAGGTCAATAATTTTATTCTACACTAAATCGGTAATGTCGGGAATGACATTAAAATGGTAAGATTGGTGGTTGGTACGGTAGAATATATTGTGATTGGTATATACATCTATGATCGACGATTAGTCAATGATGGCACTTAGTTTTAATTCCTGTTATTACCAGCGTTATCAGCTTATAACTCGTTCAGATGATACGGTTTTTGACCGATTCGGTAGTTTTACAGCATATGCTTATACTTTATTTGTTCGTCTATTCTGTTATTTGCCAGACAAGATAGATGTAAACACATTTTTTATTATGTTTTGGTATTACCGACTGTCGTAGAAAAAGAATCAACAAAAGATATTGGGTACATCGTATTGTAAAAGATAGATTAGCTAGAAAGCGAGTCGGTAATTTCACGATAAACACATTTATGAAACGTATGTATGTGCTACTAGCAAACAATTGAATCGATAAGTGAACGATTTGTCGTAGTTATGAATGAGCTATTATAGTAACAGCTATTACACGCTTCATTGAATCCATTAATTTATATGTTTCAAGAGTCGAACGTGCGGCGAAGATACAAAAATGTGTGGACACTGCTTTCGACTGTTAATGATTTGGAAGAATTGCCGAATCGATCAAAAAACCGTATCTTTTGAACCAGCTGTTGTTCTCTATTAAATTGGAAATGTTAGAAATAGCATCAAGCACTAAAATGAGAAAAAGTATATCGGTTTATGAGTGCTCTCGTCTTTACTACTAAGATTTAAAAAACATCTAGTGTTAGCAGTTCTATAGCTTTGTGTAAGGATTATTCCATATAATATAATGTAATCAAATCTATGTAGCCGAATCTTTCAATCCATTTTGCACTCTATTCGATATATCATTTAGTTTTCATTTACATTTCTATTTTCTTGTGCATCCTTAACGTTTACTTTTCGATGACTTGATTTTTATATTAGAGATCATAAAAGAAAGACTAATAGGTATTAATTCATTAATTATATTAAATCTATTAATGTGTTAACTTTCGGGTTGAAAAATAACAGGAGTATATATTTTTTTATCTTCTTTATTATCATACGCTTTCGTTGTTATAGTTATTAAGAACAAGATTACACAAGTACTCTACAAGTTAGTTTTGATAAGAAATAAGGACGTAACACGGTCGCTGTCGTTCCATTTTCCACAAAAACTGGAAGACTCAGAGGTTTATCGAAATTACCATCGGTTAATCGGTAATACAACGTACGAAATGTACAAAGCAGAGACCATTCATGAGGGCCCAGTTTCGTTTACCATCTTACGACTACGTGTTTGACGTTTTTAAGATGAATAATGTAATTCGAACGTTACACGGACAACTCGTTTACATCGCGACTTCGTTGTCATATCACGTCATGAGGTCGCGCTGCGAGTGTTTTAAGGCGATTTTAAGTACTATTAACGGTTTTGGCACTTAGATTTACCATTGCTCTAATGAATAAAATGGTACCGCTTATTTTCTCAATGGGGAAATAATGCACCTCCTTTTCGTTATATGTGTAATGTCACTAGAATTTCGTGATATTGTAGGCAGTTGACTTTTGTCTCTCGCGTCACGATTATTTCATTCGGTATAAACGTTTTACACATCTACAAACTTCAATCTAAATTTACATTTTTCTCTTCTCTTATAAACGACGATTCCGATCGAAATATTCCTTCCAATTATTTCACTGCAGTTTTATCAGAGGTATATATATAAAGGGCATAATTTAGGTATTAAATTTATACGTATAGCTGTTATCCGTGAGAATTTTCTTTCGAAAAGTTTGATCCGTCCTAATTGAATTTCATTATGAATACGATAATTGTAACGACGATCTATAGCCGTAACTTTTTAATTATAGTCGTTAATTATAGCTCGTGTAGTCAATAACTATGTCCTAAACTCTACAAAAAGTTGACTGCACTACGCTTCCTCTCTACTTTGGCATATTGACCGAAATAAAATATCGTCTAACGCTTATAGACGCTCGTTCACTGTGACAACTAATTCGAGATGAACGAATGGTGCACGTTACGTTATCGGTTTTTTTTTTTACACCTTCCACGAAGACTCGAGATTGATCGCTATCCTAAATCGACGCTACGAAATTGGCAGTATTTGGAATTTGCATAAAATATTATCATCTTTTTTTTCTTCCGTTCGAGTAAGGCAAATTGTCAGGCTATCGTACGTGAAGTATTGCTTTAGCAAATCGCTTTAGCTCGGTAAAGCGATGCAAAACTGCTAACGTTACGACGCTGTGGTACCCGTTTATAGTTCATTTTGCGTAATATATTAAACTAAACCAAGAATCAAAAAAGAAAAGAATATGAAAGGGCAATGGAGGCACGATGAAATTTGATGCGCGCAATGCATTGTTTTCTGAATAATTTTTAAGCTGTATGTAAGAGCAACAATGGAAAATAATTTTTGACAAAGGAATATTACTTGTTTGATTTCTTAATAAACATCTTTATGAAAGGTGTGATAATTCGAAAAATGCGATATCTTCAAACGAGAGTGACCAATAACGATGAGTGAGGTGAAACGACAATGCAAGCAGCATTCAAATATCGCTTTGTTACTTAAATATCACGCGGATAAAATTAATTCGTATTAAATCAACGCTTGATAATTAATAGAGTTCGCCGGATTGGTTGAGTGTTGAGCTCTGAGCAACTAGAAATAAGCTAACGAATATTCTCTATGGAATGGCTGGCTTTTATTTTACACAATATAATCGAACGTTCAGCCGCGTAAGCATATAGATGATCAAATGGAAGCACAATGTTCAATGAGAATCGCGTGGGATTCGTTTAACGTGAATACTATAATCAGATCGTGAAAACTGTCGGGGAAAGAGATAACGTGCGATCGTACGATACATATACTATATTTGATGAACATAACAAACGTTTATTTATTGGTAACTGTTACAATGCTCTCTCTATATGCTTAAGCAGTACAGCGTTCTTCCGTTTGCTATTTAACATTTCTACCACGACGCAAGCATACGAGATACCGAGAAGTTCATCGTGCTAAAGTTCAACCTTTCACTGTACGAAAAACGTGTGAAAAACCCACGCCCGGTTTCCTGATGATCGACGAAGAAGAAAACTTTAAACGAGACCAAAGTCAGTGTGAACGGTAACGTCGCAGTTGTTCGGCTTCTCCGCAGCTGCCATGTTGACTTCAACCAACGTGTCCACGCTGTTAATCGGGCAGCCTTTGAGAATCTTTTGCGCTGCTAGGCTAGTGAATTGAACCTGCATGTCGCTTAGGCTTGGATACGAACAAAGATCACCTCGACTGACCGTTTTCTCCAAATTCGGTTCCGAACCTTGCGGCGCTTTTTGCTGCTTCGAACTTTCCAGATTCTCTATGTAGACGTTGTTAAAGGATCCGCCGAAGCCATCGAACGACTTGGTAGGCGATGGTGGATTCGACGCGATGTTGCTTTTCGAATCCGGACGAAGAAGGTTCCTGTAGCTTAAAGCATCCTTCGATAACGATAAACTCAATTTCCTTGAATTGTTCATGGCATCGTTGGTATTCTTCATGCTGGTTAACGCGGATGGAGGATGCTCGTTGACCAAAGAATTCTTGTCTATATTATTGGTCGATCCGTCTATTAAATGAGCTTGGCTGTTGTTCAACCGATTCGTCAGTTTCAATTTGTTAGGCATTTCCTCGTCGGCTTTCGGCTTGTTCTCTTTATCGGATTCTGACAAAAGATGGCTCGGTTTCGACTCTTTGGAAGCGTAAAGGGAGGATGGACGTTCGAGCTTGCTCGACTTGTTCAATTTCTCTTCGTCGAGCTTCGATTTGATCAACTTTTCTTCGTCCAGCTTCGACTTGTTCAACTTCTCTTCGTCGAGCTTCGACTTGAATAGCTTCTCCTCGTCTATCTTGGTCTTATAGAGCTTCTCACCGATCAATTCCCGATCCTGTTTCTCCTTGCAGTCCATCGTTTCCTTGTCTGCTACTTTGGTCTTCACCGTGCCATTTTCAAACGTGATGACGGATCTCATGGGCGAGTTGTTCTGTTGCACGTAGATCTTTGTGCCAGGGGACCCGGAGATGGTTGTCGTACTGGTCGCATTCGAGGCTAGCGTCACGCTGTTCTGTATCGTACGTTGTTCCTGCGATGGACTGACCGGACTTAAATTCGTCGACACCTGTAGAGTTATTGAATTTTGTGCCTCTTGAAGCGGGGTTAAGGATCCTTGTTGCACCACTTTGAGCGGCGAGGATTTTGCTGGTAACGTGGATGTTTTCAACGGCGACGATGAGAGTTTACCGCTCGAAATCGACTTTCCACTGGAGTGGGACGAGTGACCGGATGATGTCTTTTGTAGAACCTGCAAAGATACGTAGAACGTGCTATTCGGTCTTTCATTTGATCTGTGTTCGAGAGTTTATGAATTTGAAATTTATAGTCATATGTTTATAACTTTGAACGCTTATCAAACAATCACGTACATTATTATATGTATGTGTATCTACGTTTCTGTAGGTAAAGCCATCTATATTCGCGTTATTTTTTTTTTTTTTTTACTATTTTAAACTTTCTAGAAATCTGAGAAAGTCCTAGAACTCATCGCAGTCTACGAATCTAAGCTTTTAAGTCGAACGTTTAAAAACTTTCTCAGAGCAAATAAGAAGTCATCTCGAAAAAATTCGCAGGTGAAACTTCCCAAATGATCTAGGCTATCATGTAAAATATGATTTTAACTCGTCTAATACTAAACAGATTTTCAAATACACATAAAATAGAAACTTTGGAAATCCAGGAATTAAACTTTATCGCCAAGTATAACGATACGTACAGACTCTGTAGATGAAGCACGATCACCACGTGTCTAAATCAAAGCTACCTATTACCTTATGCTGAGGCGATCCGTTTGATTTGGTACCACTACCAGTGGAATCGTGACTGGGACGTCTAGAATTAGATTGTCTCGTGCTGGATCTGCCCAGGGTGGCCGTTTTCGCGGGGCTAGCATTCGTAGTTCTAACTGATCCGGAACTTCCGCCGCTTCTACTAGGCGACGAGTTCGCCGAATTTTTACCATTTTGCGTTTGATTACGACTCTGATACGGTTCTTGGTTGGTACTTGGCGGCAGGACAGAAGCTCTGGACGTACATCTGCTTAAACTAGAGCACTTTGATCTGGGCATTGTCGAACACGGTGATCGATGTCGTCTGGAACTTCTGGGCGTCGAGTTCGCCAATAAACTAGAGGAATCGCCGCTGGCTTGGCGTCGATGTCGCCTGGGCAGCGTGGCGGATCGCACCGAGCTCGAATCATCCCATACTTGGAAACTGGCCTGTGACTGAGCTAGACCCTCCATCATCTGAAAACGTTACTCCGTTGTTAAGCTGATCGGCTCGCTCCTCTCGAGTTCTCGCGCGATTTAATCTCGACGTTCGCATTCAATTTCCGTCTGTCGAGAGCAAAAACATGGATGCTTTCTTTCTTTTATCTTCTTTTTTTCTTTTCTCGTTAGTAGAGTGCATCGTCCCGATTCAAAACTCACCGAAGGGCTAGCGGCTCTCGTTTGCGTGGCTACGCTGTGTAGATGAACGACACGTGGATTAAACCACTCGGTAGGAGGATACTGAGCACTGAACGTGCCCATTAACGGAGCACCCTTTCTTCGTGTACTTCGTCGGAATAGCCTCGAAAGTAGACCTATTTTCTCTGAAAAAATACCGGAGAAACCTTGAGAAAAAAGAGAGGAACCGATGTTGCATTTCGTAATGAAAGATCGGGGATCGAGGAAGGGCTTGCCAGCTAAAGGTGACTAAGAAGCTTCGTTCTTTGGTCGATGCTCAGCCGTGGTTCGCGGGTTTAGGAACTTGGGGAACTGCAGATACTCTTCAGTCAGGATTTTCGTTCTAACTCGTCTTAAGGTTTTCAGAGATAGATGGAAGAGCTGCAAAGCGTGGTTGGGTAGTTTATTTTGTTGAAAGTAAAAATTATTCAGCATTCGAATAATAATATTTTTTAAGTAAAAGCTATAACGCTGAATGTTTGTGCTAGTGCGATAAGCTTTCGGTACTTGTATCTTCCAACATATTTTTTTATATCTTGTTTCGTGCAATATAGCAAAGAGGAAAATTCTCCGTGTATAAAATTCGAAATGAGATGCTTTCTTTTATAAAGAACGTGATCCAGATCGAAGTAATAGCCTCAAGTGGAAAGCCAATACGTTCCGATTAAATGATTATCCACCACCAAAACAATCCCTTCCCCGATTCGACTCACTGGTTGGACTATGGGGTGCGCTGTCGGTGCTCGCATATTCCGCACTCGACGAAGTATCGCTTCTTTCTGGCCTTCGCGGCAAAGACCGTGAACTTCCGCTTCTGGGTAAACGTCTGGCGGATCCCCAAAGTCGCAGAGAATGTCGCCTCTCGAGGCGACCCGGCATCGATCGACATCTTGCGAACAGAACCTTGTCGTTGGGGTTACCTGCGAACACCAACAGTTACATATTTTCCGTGTCTTCTTTTACGTATACTTATATGTAAATTCTATAGAATTCAAACTATCCGCCAACCGACATTTTTACTTTTGCTTTGTTTTACCGGAATTTTACTGACTAGATTAGATAACGGGAGAAGAATGGTACTATAGGATTTAGAAAATCAATTCTTGATTTTCCAGGTAAAATTTTTAGTAGATTTGTTATTAATTGTTGTTGTATATAATTTAATTTGTTCCTAAAATAAACTCGATTTTCCAGAATCGATCGTCTTATTTACCCCAAAGATTTACGATATTACAAATATATTCAACAATTGTATCGCTTAGAATTTTTTAAATTCTCAGTAACTGCACTCACTGACCTTATCGCTTATTGTCGCCATAAATAAGATAAAAGAAGAACAGCTTATAATCTATTTAGTATTTGATACTCTTCGTACAGTTTCTTTATTCTTATCGACTGTATCGCATTCGATATAACAGTTCTTTTATACAAATCACAAGCGATTGAAGTTATTACATCCCATGCAATTGTTCTATACCAATCAAACATCAATTGAATCAACATTACAATCATCAAATATCGATTACTTATTCCGGGTGAGAATCCATTGTAATTAATAAAGAAAAAAACAAAAAGAAATTTGATCGTTCGATTTCCAAATGGCCTCGAAGACTCCCATTCCAAGCACTGTTTGAGCTCGAAGTCGCGAGTCTCGAATCGCGTTCTCAAAAAGTGGAACACCCTCGTCCCTGATTTTCATCCTGGTACACAGCCACAGGCGGTGGCGACGACCGAGTGTGGGTTAGCAGCGTGAGAATCACTCGAGAAACGAGTCAGAGAAAAGTAGGAAGATTATATACGTGG